ACCCGGTTTTCGGGGAATTACCCAGTCAACGGCAACACTGCTTATTGCATGAATTCTAAAAAGGTTTCTAATTCTAACCTGTTGTTTTCTACTTAACGTAGACATAAAGACATAACCTGAAAATCCTGAAATTAGGAGCAAGGATATTACCCAACATCTGGCAAGGATATTACCCAACATCTAGCAAGGATATTACCCAACATCTACGTCATCATTTGTCAAATTTCAAAATGACCATAAATGAGTGCGAAATTCAAATATTCAAATTTAAATTCCTACTAAAGCCAAAAAATATAGTTAAGTACCAAAAATTTTTCGCCCAAGGCGCTATTTAGCCTGCGGCGCTGTCCCTCTTAATTTGACCCACCTGTAAAAAAACTCACGAGCCGCGCCTGTCGATCAGAATAAGCATTTATTGAAAACTTGAACCGTGGAAAAATATCTTTCGCCAAAGTTTTATCACGTTTGATTTAAGACTTTTTCAAAACGTCCGTTATCGATCTTTATATGATGTCCGAAGCTATTACATTTTAACTCAGAGAGAACATCTACGTTTGGATAATCGTTATTCGTTATAGCAACTTGTGACTGTGTGTTCTGATGAAAGCCTGAAAAACTAAGCCCTTCTCAATGAATAGATATTTTTATGAGGGATAATACAGTTTATTTTGCAATTAACAAAAAACAAGCAGGCTTTATTCAAGATTTGTTGCCTTTTATGAATGGAATCATAATTTTACCAAACATCCCACGCAATTGTAAAGTAAAGTAAATTATATCTGTCTAGAACAAAATTGTTTACTCTTTCTCAGACTTCTGTATGCGTTTTACAACATTTTTATCGTGTCATCTCGGAAAGAGACCATAACGAGCCCGCTGCGCTCTTGTTTACAATCGTATAACGTCGAGTCATGATCTTCTAATTTAATTAGGAGACCACGCAAAATTAAATTAATGTGGGAGAACATTTTTGGAAGATCGCGTTTTAGGCTCTTTTCTGATGTAACATCATTCATGGCTAATCAGAAATCGACTAAATTTTTCTATGCGTCAAAATCATATAATGATAATAGTAAATTCAATTTTTCATAAGAAAACTCTACACTTCAACTTTCTGGTTGTTATTTTTGTCTTTCTTTCGGCCTCCAAATTCGAAAGTTATCGAGAAAGAAATCAGATACCTATATCACAGTAAGAGCGATATTTTACAAAGTTAATTTAACGCTTGACTGAATGCTACTTTACAATTGTTTTTTTATGCTGCTCCCTTTATAAGGTACATTCATCTCACGGAAGATGGAAATATAGACTTGCTTTTCAATGTTCTTTCTCTGTTTTCATTGAACGATGAGCATGAGAAGTTCATTAATTGGTAGAGACGATTTCCATTTTTTTTTTTTTGTTGTAAATGATTGAGGTTTTGCATTTTTTTTGTGATTACCCTAGGCAAATACCTAGCTAAATTAGTTTGCCAATTTTTCAATTCTATATCATTTGTGTGAAGTTCAGTGGTTTGACGAATTTGCAAACTGAATATCAACAACTGTAAAAGGGCCCAAATGTATGGTCTCTATAATTTTTTTTTTTTCAAATTTTTCACCATTAAATAATAGTTATTTATGTCATTAGGTCAAGAAGTGGGACTTTTTGTGCTGAGCTCAACCCTTAAATTGAGCGAAGATAGAAAAACCTTCGGGCCCGAATGGAATGACATACAATATTTTATCTTCAAGGGATTGCAATATTTCCTTTCGCAACTTATTCACTGCTTTTTTCATCCATTTTCGGAAAAATAAACAGCTGCCACTATAAAGTTACGACGTATGTCAAATTGGTTTACTTCAAATGTCAAATCGATATTGGGTCACTCCGGAACACATTTTACCGAACATGGAACCTCGTGTAAGCGAGCAGACACATCAACTTGGTATCCGTATTTTACAAGTTCTTACTTTATTTATGCAATGCTTTAGTCAAAATGTAAAGGATTAAATTAGGTAGGCCCTGAATTATTATCAGAAGCTCTGCAACACCAATAAGATACAAATGCAGGACCTGCAAGTCTGACTTTTCGAATTACAGAAACAGAATGCATTTCCAAGTCGCCTGCAGATTTCCGCATGGTGAGACGGTCCCGTAAGTCCTTGCAATCACTTTGACAACTTTGACATTTAAAACTGGTAAATCATTGGCGCCCAAACACTTTTTTTCGATAAATATTTTCACAACCCCTATACGATTTGTCCTGGGACGTCACAACAGGAGCGTGACCTAGGGGCGTAGGTGGGGTTCAAGTAGAGAGAAACTCGCTTGGTATATATAGGTATAATAAAATATGTATTGAATAATAATAATCTTACCCTAGAAATGATATCATGACGTCTCTTCTACAGAGGGAAGTACTACTTATAGGCTACTCTGTAATATGTTCACTCTGTACACTTGCCGTGACTGAAGACTGAAGCTGGGTTTGAGACAGGTCCAAAAGGGCGTTTCCCAGTAAAGGTAGTTTGCACTGGAGCTAGTCTGCTGAGTTCAAAACTCCCCGATGGGTCTGGTTTGAGACAGGACCATACAAGGGCGTTTCCCATTAAAGGTAGTTTGCACTGGACCTAGTCTGCTGCGTTCAATACTCCCAGAAGGGCGTTTTCCATGAAAGGTAGTTTGCACTGGGAGGAGACTTAGCTAGAGGGACTTTTCCCATTTGAGGTACTTTGCACTAACCTTAGTGTTCCGGTAATGGATTTCGGCGCGGTATTTATACCAAATAAATGCTGACTCGTCGACACACTTTAGTAAAATTTGATGTACAAAGTGGTATTTACTTAAGTAGTTGACAATATAACGGAGTTGCAGATTTTTTCTGTTATTTGCTCGTTCCTGCAAATAGAGCACATATGCAACTCGGCCATATTTGCAGAACTGCAAATTTGCAGATGCAAATATACTGTAATTGGGCCATAGTGCTTATGAATTAATTATGCTCTCGAAGTAAATTCCCGAAATTTGCCGTTGACGCTGCCATCTAGCGAGAAGAAGGCCTAAAATCAATTACAAGAACATAATGGGTCTGTTCTCTCAGAAATCACAAACCAGTCAGAGCAAATTTCATTGGTTGAAGATAGTCAGAAAACTGGTTGTTGGTGATTTACACCAGTCAAAATTGCTATGACTGGTTTGTGATTGCTGTGAGAACAGACCTGATTGACGCTGCTGCCTCTAGCGGTGTCTAGCGAGAAGTTCGTTTTCTTCTCGCTAGACTCCAAATTACTCCAAACATAAAAATATTTTCAGTCCTATAGGTACATAATGGATCACTTCTGTGTCATGTTGTGTTGACGACAATAAAGTTCAAATTTTAGACCGCTTGAAGATAAAAGTTTCTATATTTTTTTGTGAAATGAGTTTTACTGAACTGAGAATCCGTGACAATTATTTTCAAAAACTATTTGACCTATCTATTTTACCAGACAGATGCAAATAATACGAAAACTTCATCCAGATAAAAAAAAAGACGCAACAACGCTCATTGCGCAAGACGACGCAAAACGTACCAAATCATGTTAGACTTATCATCCTTTTTATTTGCACGGGATAAAAAAGGAAGGAAAGACCGCGTGACCGTGCATCGTATTTTAGAATTAGAAACCGTTCAAAATCTCGAACAACTTTTGAAGTTTCATCGCCATGGCGAGGTCTTGAAAATTAATCACTTGTCAAGCTGAGTCAAGTTGAATATCAACCCTAATTTTATCCTTGTCAGACCACAGGCAATAAACACCTGTTAGTTATAGCCAATAAAATGGTATTTCCTCGTGTTTCGCGCGCATACAGGTGAAAAGAGATAGGACAATTCCCGTGAAAAATCCAACACTCACCTGATTTAGATAATTTGCGAAGAAGTCGACAAATTCTGCATTTTCTGTCTGAGGCGGATAACAAACGGACATAATAAAAGGTTTCTTCCAGCAGAATCTCGGAAATGTTGGCAGCAGCTTATGAAGCATATACGCAATGATAAATTTGTATTCCAGCAAACTAATGTGGGTGGAATATTTATGACTTTTTGTTTGGCAACTGGTTAAAATGTTTGTCAATGTTCACCGAATATTCCTAACTTTTCAAATCCTAACCTATCTTTCCTCATCTGAGCCAACTGTACTAAGTTTCATGTAGTACCGACTTCATATAGTTTTAATGTTTTCTCAGTGCACAGGACAAAAGTTAAGTTTGCACTGTTTGTAGAAGATAATGGATGTGCTGGAATTTGATTATGATCTGATAGTGAGCTAAAGTTCTTAAGCAACGAAGAGCTGCCAAACAATGAAAATTATAAGTATTACAATGCTATTGAGGCAGTATGAGCAACGCAGTTCCAAATTTATTTTATCTCCAGTCAGGAGAAAATGATAAACTCGGCGCTATGCGCTATCAAGTTTCATCAATTTGTTGCCGTGAAATATTACCCCTACTTTTCCGTTCCATCAGAAATTTGTTGCAAACTTCAAAACATATCTCCACGTCACCAACAAATTTGTTTGTGCTGAAGCAAACCTAAAATGTCAATATCACCTACATCTTCATAAAAGGGGAAGGAGTTATACCTACTTAAATTAGTTGTGACACTACTCAAAAGAAACCTAGCCAACCCATTACATAAAATGGTGTTAATAGGCCTATTTCTGGGAAGCATTTTTGTGTCTAAAATCAGACATTGTTTAAGCCTCATTTATATTCATATAAGTAAGTTTTCCTCACAAAATTATTTTGAATCTCACAAACATTTGGAAAAAGACATAATTTTCCCAATCATGGAAAATTGAGCTTCGCAGGTCAGCTTCTCCTGCTGGATCTATCATTTTGACGCGTCAAAAAAAAAGTCGAGAAGATATAAGATATGTATACTTTATGTACATGTTACGGTTGTCCCGATATATACGCATCAGCTTTCTTCGGCGCGTCTCGGACAAGAAGGTGCGCGGGCCCGGACCGCCCGTGGGCGGCACAGGACGAGCGGGCGTGTCACGTGATCAGCGCGCCGCCACCAGGCCACGCCCCCCGCGAGCGGCTCATTGAGCGCGATCGCGCTGCCCATCAATGGCCGTGACTTCGCGTCCGTAGTCACACGAGTCGCCCGCCCGTTGTTTTCAATACACACGAGTACCAAAACGCGCAACCAGTGAGTGCTGATCGACCGATGTTCACAATGTCACGGCGCTGACCAGCTGCCAGTGATCGCGCGAGTGCCTGTGCGAGTGCCAATTAGGCCCTGTATGCACTCTATAGTGCTTCTGTGACTGTGAGTTCTCGCGGCTTCGAGCTGGATCATCCGGGTGGTTTTGGCGCATCGCCCTGGGCTGCTGTCCTGGGGCATCATGCTGCCGCTTCGATTATGCAAACTGGTGAACCGCATGGTTATGGTCCAGCACATCATCCTGCTGGCCCTATGGACCTTCATATGCCACAAGCTTTTCCCTATTATCGGTAAGTACTTATTCGATATACAATCATAACAGTAACTACTCAGGAAGTTTTGTGTGTCATCAAATATCTGCGGATGCCGGGGTGAGTACCATGAGTGCTACCGACATCCCAATTTGTGTCACTTCTTTCTGAGCAATTTAAAGGTGCATCTTTTTGTATCGGCTAACGCATTGATAGAAATTACGTGTCAAAACTTCTAGATATTCATCCTTTCAATATGTTATGGTCTTTGGGTACAAACCAATAAAAAGTAGACACTGATTATTCTCAACATTTACCTCTAACAGTGTTTCTTGGATCGCTGAAATTGCATTTTGACGAACCGAGATTATTTGTAACCTTCTTGAATTCTCGAATTCTTCTAATGAATGTACTATAATTTGAAACAATTCAAACAACTTCACCATATCATTGTCACAGTGATACCAAAAATCATCAACATTAGCATGAAGATGGATAAGTCATATTTAATTCATATTCATTAATCATCTCATCATGATCGAATATGGCTCAAGCAGATTAACTAACGCTGCAGGGGATCTGGCCACTTGTTGATCATTTACATTTCCTTTTCCGTTCTCCGTGCATAAGTTCTCCCTAGTTCCACGTGATATTTTGGATCTTTGGCACGTGGATAGTTTTTTTTTTGGTTTTTCTAAAAATTGTTATTTTCTACATTTAAGTGATTATTTTTTTTATTCGCCTTGAAAGCGAACTGTGAAAATGAATTCTCAGATTTCATTTTCCTAAGGACACGCAGAAAAAGTATTCTCTCATTTTCGTCTGAGTGCTGCACTTTCATATAAATTGTGGGTGTCTATCATTCAAAAATGTTTCCACTTTGACAGAGGAGTCAAAATAAGTACAATGTGATGCCCTGGTTGACATTGGGGCTTAATGTACATATGGTACGAAAAATCTATCTGTACCTGCTTTACTTTCTTAAACATAGAACTTAAAGTGAACTAATTGTAACATTGTAAAATTTTCCAAATAACTTGTTGGGCATTATGTATTATCGATAAAAAATGTAGACTCTATAAGGGCTAAGGGTTGTTGCTAAAATATATTAATGAATATATATAATATTGAAATCTTGACACATAAGTAGAAAAAATCAAATGTATTTCTTTCATCTATTTAGCTTGGTCGCCTTCTGTAATTACCCTTTTTCCTATTTTGTTTATTGAGCTTATTTTAAATTTTCTGTAAGGGACGTTATTAAAACGCAGTTTCATTAACATGCATATAAAGCTGGTGCCAATCATTGCTATCTGAAAAATCAGCATGCAACAACCTTTAAAGGTATGTGTATAATTAATTTCTGTCAATTACGTGTTCAAAAGGTGGCGGGAAACGATGAAAGTCAGAGGCAAAAAACATTATGCATAATTTTAAAATCCGTTTTGTTATGTTCTTGCGTCCTATTTCAAAATATATATATATGATAAGCAACGGAATAATTAGTATCTAGTAAAATCCAAAAATGAAATTTCAACTAATTATAATAAAATTATAAGGATGTCTTAAAAAATACTAATAATAAGGTCCAGGGCTAGAAAAGGCCGAACGAATAGGGTAGGGCGGACATCCCACCCATAGGGATGCTGGAGATTAAAATGCCCAGAAAACTTTATACCTACTTGGAGCAGAAAATAGTAACATGAACTCCCTTTTTCGAAGTGCGGTCACGAAGTCAAGTGCACCGGACATTTTGATCGCATCAAAGTAATGAATGGGTAACTTTTCCAAAATTTTTGGAAAATCTCCTGAAATTTTTTTACTAAAACATAATAAATGCAGTCTACCAATTCACCAAAATTGCATACACTTTAGAAAAAAATGAAAAGTGCATAACTTTTTTTGGACCTAGCTGTCAAAGGTTTTCGACAATGGGGTAAAGTATCCAAAAGCTGGTAGTATTGGATTGGTTATGACGACAGATTGTTCACAAAAATATATTTTTTTTTAGAACCATAAGCCAAAAGATTCACACAAAAAAGTGGTTACATTTCTAAGAAAACACACTCTGTTAATATCACAGTACAAGTACAAAGTAAACTGTCTTCCGCAGGCATCATAATCTAATAACGATAAAACTAAAACTGATCCTATTATGCAATAAAGTAAATCCTGATTAGCACTTCCTTAATGTTTGCGTTTCATTTCTCCCCTCTTAACTGTACAAACAGATTTCTTAAATGAAGTTTCGAAGTTATTTCGGTTGCTTCGGGGCACATATATTTTAAACCGCGATGATATTGTTTGCTTTAATACAGAAGATTGATTTTTTTTTCAAATTTTTAGAAAATTTTATTCCTGTTTTTGCAATCACCAAATATTTTAAAACAAGATTCAAGATTCTTGAAAGCACTACTGCTGTAGGTATAAATTTACCGTAAAATACCGATTGTACTTTTTTTCTTTGAGTTAATTCTTGTCAAACAGAAGAATTTTCAGCGAAACCTTATTAGAGCACGCCGTTTCTTCGGTTAAGGGAATCGTGCATCTTTTTTGTGAGTCTGTGTTAATCAGCACGAAAGAATAAAGCAACAAAAATTGAGAAAACCGTAAAGAGAGCTTTTTGTTGGAAAAACTCACTCCGAACGTCCGAATGAGTAGCTGCTTTGGCCTTATACGTCTTTCAGTCGGGTGCTCTTTTGAAACAGCCGAGCCGATTGTTGTAGAGAAAAACACACAGAAAAATATATTAATATTGGCGGACGTCAAAATTGATTTTGCTAACTGCAACCTGGTATTAATCGATTTAAATTTTAATTGATGGTAATTTCAACGCCGGACAACTTCTGTCCAACTTGTAAACCAATGTTATCCGACAGACACGTTTTATCTATCGATAAATATTCCAGAGCCGTATCGTGTGTCAGCATCTGGCGCCTCTGATAATTCGCTCAATATAAATAATTAATTGCTTTATCTTAATATAATTTTATAAATATGGAAATATCGAGAATAAAGTACCATGAGTTAATTATGTATAACACGAACTAAATTTATTAAAATGAAAAAAAAAAAAAAAAAACGAGAATAATTACCCGGCATAAGTCTAGTACTCATAATTGCGAAATTCGCATTTTTTTGACATTGCGTTGACAATTTGACGTTTTATGCGTGTATTGAACGTCAAATTGTCGAAGCAATGTCAAAAAAATGCGAATTTCGCAGTTATGAGTACTAGGCTATAGAATTCATCCCATCGTATTGAAATTGGGCATAGGGGATAAGGCTGGAATTCCCTACTGTCTTGGACTTTTATCGATTTCGAATTAGTTTTTTATACCGCAATGTGAATTTTGTCTTAAAACTGCAGCTATAAAAGCTTTATTCGGATTCTTGCAATTAACTGCTTTAGAACTGTCAGGAGTATGCGCAGTTTAAATTTTTTTGTTCTGGTTTTATCGAACTAATGCAGGACGGTTCTGGATTCATTAGTTTGGCGTTCGGTTTCAAAAGTCAGAACTGTTCTGGAACTGTCAGAATCGATGCCTGCTTTAGAGCAAGTACTATTTTCGGACTATTTGTTACACATGCGCATGCAATATGAAACCTATTTTGAATTTCGACAGATGAGAAGGGTTACGGTATCAAATTTGTTGGTATATTTTTGAATAATTAAAAAAAGAAAAGCTTATTTATAAAAAAAAAATATAACCTTTTAATCAAAGTAATAAACATCTCAAACTTGAGGGTTACTTATGTTTTCGAATGAAATGTCAAATTAAATTCTTGATTCTTGGGTTTCGGATGCGTTCGGGCTTTTTGAATTTGTGGACAGTCCGAGAACCGTCCTTGGCATCAAAACCAATGCGCATGCAATTCTGCGCTGTCAGCGAATCATTTGATAACTGTTCTAGAACGGTTCACCAAACAATTGAACGCGCTAATTTAGTTAAAGAATCTAATTCAAATTCATTGCCAAGAATATGTTCAAATTTTTGATAAAATTGCATGTGTACTATAATAATAAAGAATACAAAAAAATTCTGCATTTTCCCGATGTGAAATTGGTATTTTGAGTCATATCGTAGTCAGTAATGTTGTTCAAGACGTCTAAAACTTATTATTGTCAAAAAATGGAACGATAGGAAAAACTTAAAAGACGTGAGAGTAAAGGCTTGCGTTACGCTCCCTGTAATTTTCCCTTAAAATAATTCCGTGCGACGAATTTTTATAGGCAGGGGTCGAGTTTTTAAGTTCAAGGGGTGTAAATGTAAGAGGCTAATGTCTTTACGGGCTGCGAAGGGCCCGATCAAAAATTTGCAAGTATGATTTTTTTTCACAGCATGCTGATTATACTTTAAAACAGTGGATTCTTTTTCTCTCCCTCGCGGTTCTATGTTACACGCTCCCACTTTGTTAAAACTCATCGAGTCAAAAGTAGGCGCTGCTGCATTAATTTGTGTTCCCTGTAACAGCTTGTACTATTATGAATTTGATTTTTCTTCTTTCCCCTTGTTCTTTTTTTGACTTTATAATGGTCTTAGAGACTTACTTTTGATAGTTATTTATGATCTTTTTTGTCGAGCTGTTTTCAGAAACATTATTGGCATATTTATTATTTTTATTATGCAGTGCGTCCCAAAAGTCCGACCATTGAAATGTTTTTCGAGTTTCAATAGCGGATACATGCTCCTTTCGTCTCACTACACTAGGTATGAACTGGTAATTAGCAAGAGATTCCCTTGATAGGTAAGAAGAAAGATGATCCGACGGGAACCAATCGGATCGTTGTAGCGGCTGCGTCAGTCTTTCATATCCATCGACTTGATGAAGCTGCTGATAAAGCATATCCTACTTAATTGGTTTTTGCTGTCCATGGTGGTACCAACTGACCAAAAATAATATGCTTTGAGAAACTTGGATCATGAAAGACGAAAAAATAATACACAAAATTTAAAATTTTACCAATTCTAAGTGATGAGGAACTGCTTTGTCTTTCACCTTGACCTGCTTCTACTCCTGGAAAAATCTTCCAAACC